CTGGATGTCGCCAATGTCCAGGCGCATGGTAGAGATTTCGGCCGTCATGGTAGCCTCGCAACATTGGAGTTCCGAGATCTAAAGCCTAACCTCTAAAGCCTAACCCTAAGCCCGAAAGGGACCCAGACGTTCTCGCCGTGAGCAATATAGAGGAGGGGCTGAACCGTTAGTTGGAGTGGTGCGTTGGGCTATGTTGTGACAACCAATGGTTAGTGGGGATGCTGAGGGGTGGATATGTCCAATGATTTGTGCCGGCGTGTTCGGCTTAAAGCGTCTTCGAAGCCAGGAACGAGGAGGATTGAAGCAAGAACGACTCGTGCTCACCAAGCATGGCTTCTGCATCAGTAAGAGGACAGCGCTAGTAACGGCCTAAACCTTAAACCCTGAACCCTAACCCCTGGACCCTAACCTCTGAATCCTGAACCCTGGACCTTGAACCCTGAGGCCCTGCAACTCAACAGGGCGGCCTGTCAAACTTCGTGCTCTTGGCAGTTTGGGGGCGGTGCATGCTAGTGTTTAGGGAGACCCCAAACCAAAAAGATCTGTAACCCTAAAACTCCACAACTCTGGACCCGAACGCCGCAAACCCCTCTTCAAAAACAACTGAGCTCTAAATTCTAAAACGCCCCAAACCTCGAGCCCCGAAACTTAAACCCCGAACCCGAAACCCACAAAGCCCTTTAGAGCCCTGAACTCCACGGCACAGCCTCCACGCGCTGCCGGGAGGTGATGATGGAGTGAGTCGCATCCACACGAGCCTGGCAAAGATGGATTTGACCTTCAGAATCAAGGGATTCTGTAAGCCTTCTCGTTGAGGGTTCAAAAGGGTTCTATGCGGGCCCTGAGGCTTAAAGTTTAGGATTTATGGGTCCGCAAGAAGCTTCTGGAGACTTTTTCCGTAAGTTTTTGGTGAGGTTACAAGTAGCTGCTGAGGAGCTTGACTGGAGTTAACCCTATGCGTCGGGTCCCGTGATCCTCGAAGTGGGGGGCCTCGGGTTCTTAGCCTCCAACAACCCTCCGTCCAGAGCACCGACGGTGCTCACCCGAAGCTCTCCAGCCCTTAACGGTTAGGGATTAGGGTTTAGGGTCTAGGGCTTAGGGTTCATGGTTTAGGGTTTAGGGTTTGGGGTTTAGGGAAACCAAACAATCGGAACAAGCGCAGCGCCCGACGCCCGTCGCCCAACGTACCGAAGGAAGCAATTGGTGCCCGGTGCTCACAGTCCCTCGACAAACACGGAACCCCAAAACCCTAAACCTCGAAGCCCCTTCCCATTTACCCCAAAACCCTGAATCCTCGACCCAATGAGAAAAATTAGAGTAATAATTTCAATAGCAATAATAATAACAACAATAATGATGATAGTAGTAATAATAGTAATAAATACTAATAATAATACTAATAATAATAACATATATATATATATATGTAGTAGTAAAAACTTAGAAGTTAGTAATTTAATGACAACGCTGCCAGCTTTCTGAGCTTGGCACACGCATCTCGTCCAAGTCCACGTTCACTGCATCCATGGCTGCCGTGAAGTCCTTCGCACCAGAATCTTGAAAGGCGCATGGCTGAGGTTTTCGGGGTGCTGGGTTTTGGGTTTAGGGTTTTTGGTGTTGCGGGTTTAGGGTTTAGGGGTTTTATGGTTCAGGGTTTTTGGGTTGAGGGTCTGAGGGTTTGGGGTTTAGGGGTTTTGGGTTGGGTCGTCAAGCGTCATCAGGCCTTTCAAAAAACGGCCGTCGGACTCCAGGATGGAATTGCGAGGGCGTTACAGCTGCGAAGGCACCAGTATAGCGGCTACAAGTTTATGGGGTTTAGGGTTTTTAAGGTTTTTAGGGTTTAGGGCTTAGTAGGTTTAGGGTTTAGGGTTTAGGGTTTAGGGTGGTGCCCTAGCGGTGTGTCAAAGCCGTGCAGGATCTGGACGGTCATCGTACTAGAGCGTGAACCCAGGCCCCAAACCATCAAACCGCTCATGCGCTGGCATCATGTAGATTCTATGCAGTTCTCTAAATTAGGGTCCCTTTTTAGATCCCCAACATAGTCCGGCCCAAAAGGGCCCCTAATTTAGAAAACTACCATGTACCTAAAACAAAACTAAGAAACCGAATGGAGCCCCTTATGGGAGTATAGGACCCTTGAATAAAGACCCTTTCCGTTGATCCCGGCTAGAGACCGGGAAAAGATACAAAGAACTGCCCGAACCCAAAAACCTGTCCCGGACCCTAAAGCCTCAACCCCAAACCTGAAACCCTGAAACCCTAAAGCCCTAAATCCAGTATCTACTGAGGGATCGGACTCGAGAGGGGGAGGGAGGTGGCACATTGAGGTAAGGTTCTAAGTCAAGGATCCTGCTGATGAGAAACCTATGGGGCCCGTTTTGATATCTCCAATCTTCAAGCTCCCCAGCCCTAAACCGTTTAGGGTTCAGGGTTTAGGGTTTAGGGTTCAGTGTTTAGTGTGCAGGGTCTAGCGTTTAGGTGGTTTTGGATGACGCCGGGTCCTCCATGTCGCGCTCGCATGCCAAGACAATGCGGCGGATGTGGTTCACCTCGCCCTTGTTGTTGCCTGCAGCTGATTACTTGGAGGTTCATGGGTAGTTATAAGTAGGGTTACAAGTCCCTTAATATGGGTTATAACTATAGTTACCCGAATTATAACCCCACTTACAACTACCCATGAACCTCCAAGTAGATGGATTGGCATAAAGGCCTGCAGTCCAGAGGCCCTAAACCCTGAACCCCAAACCCCTCAAGTCTACGGCCCTAGGTTTAGGGTTTTGGGGTTTAGGGTTTAGGGTTTTAGGGTCCTTCAACTGTACGGTTCGAAGCTCGCTGCCTTCGGCTTTAGACTTCAGGGCTTTGGCTTCAGGGCCAGGGCACCGAACGAGAAGCGCTGGGCCCGTTAAAGCCTTGACGCCCTGAGCCTTGAAGTTCCTACACTCCCCCCGAACCCGAAACCCCTAAAGCCTGAACCGTAAACTCTGAAGCGTAAACTCTACTGGCTCAAGTCCTGCATCCCAAACCCACTGAAACCTGACAACCCGAAATCTGTCGACCCCGAAATGCCAGACCCCAACCGCTCCGCTGCACGCGGCCAAATCCCCACAACTGTACGTACTTGCCTGTAAAGGGATCCGGTGATGGAACACGGTAATAAAACCCTAGTTATTTGAGTGCCTGCACCCGAAACGCCCGGGTTCCCGGCCCAGCAAATCCTTGAGCTCGCCGACATCGTACTTCAACTGATCAAGATCCTGACAAATTACGGCTTTAGGGCTTAGGGGTGTACGGCTTAAGGGCTTCAGGGTTTAAGGCTTTAGGGCTTCGAGGTTTACGGTTTTAAGGGCTTCAGCGTTTAAGGGTTTAGGGCTTAGTAGATTTAGGGTATCGGGTCGAGGGTTTAGGGCCTTCGGGGTTTGAAGATTGGGCCTTCCCTTTGGGACGTAAAGTTGAAGGATTGTGCTGCTTTGGGATTATATAGGGGTTTGGGGTTAGGGTTTAGGGTTTAGGGTTTGGGGCTAGGGGTTTAGGGTTAGGGCCGGTTAAGGGATTTCAGGTATACCGCTTCGGGCATGGAGTTTGGGGTTGCGGGGCTCAGAACGAATGGTGCCACCAGCTCAGTGTCGAGCTCGTGCTCAACCTCCCTCAACACTTTATTGGAAAAATCCAAGGTAGGACTTGTGAGTTATAGCCACCTGACACCCGTCGGTCCAGAATCCTTAAACACTGAGACTCTGAACAACCACTCGACCCCAAACCCTAAACACGAAACCCGAGTAAAAGGGAATCCCGGGATCAACCTCGGCCATCGTGTCCAGACCCGCTGCCCCGCCGGCACCATCCACCTGGGGCGGCTTTCTTTAAATCAACATCAGCATCACCCTCGTCTCGATATCATCAACATCACCATCATCATCATCATCATCATAATCACCGTCATCACTGTCATCATTCCAAAAATCATCATCATCATCATCATCATCATCATCATCACCTTCTTCTTCTTCCTTCGCAGCCAAGTCCACGGTCTGGCTAGCGAGCGCCTCAAGACGACCATCGGTCGCCCGGCCGCTTCAAGCGGCATGGCACGTATGCTCCGTTTGAGCATGCCCTCGACATAAAGGGCGCTGTGCGCGATGCTGATATCTTGAATCAGCGTGCTCTAAAAGAATGCGTAATGCAAAAGGTTGCTTAAACACTTGCGATCGCCTCAGTCATCAAGAGTATCCAAAGCGCAGGGAACAGTCTCACTGACTACCTTGTTCCGTCCTTGCACCGTCAGGGTCGGCGGCAGACGGGTTATCAGCCTTGGGATGAGAATCTCCAATTGGTCGAGCCGCTGCTGAAGTAGATGAACATCCATCGTCACACGACGGAGCCACGTCTCCAGGAATTCTTGATGACTGCTTAACCAGGTCTCCCGCATCCGATGCATGGTGACTAAGGAGCTTCCGGTCTCCAGCATGAGGCGTCGGGGCAAGTCCTACGTGACTACGACTAGGGCCAAGAGGATTGCTGGACGTGGGAGGTGCAGCTGACTCGGCACGTTGGCACAGTACAAGAATGTATGCCGAGACCGAAGTGTCTTCTAGCTCCGCGGCATTCGCTCTAGTTGGCGGCTGGTCATCATCCAACAAGTATGGCGAGGCATCTTGTATGAGAACAGTATAATGTCCTGAGTATGGTGTGGGACCATGATGTCGGATGTAGCATGCAATATCATACACCCGCCATGCTACTCGAAGTGTGCCCGGCTCACAGAAGAATGGGAGCTGGACAGCTCCTGCCAGCAAGAAGGGATGTTGTGTTTTCCTGACTGCACCTGCTGCTACGGCAAACCGTGGAAGCTGCACAAAGAGCCACGGCGGAGTCACGTCTAGAGCACGCAGCGACTCCTGCTGATGCCAGCGATTGATCAGTTCCTGCAGCTCTGGGGTATGAACAGGGGTATCCGGCAGGCCAAGGCATTTGTTAAGTGCCCCGGTAAGCAACGTTCGGACCTCACCCGAAGGTGAGATAGCACGGCTGCTCCATGTTGACACCCCTGTCGAAGCGACCTTGGGAATCAAAAAGTCGATGAACTCTGCCGTGTCGTGCTGTCTCCCGGCCCCCCGCCACCCCAGAAGAAGGAACCCCAGCGAGCGACGTGCTCGCATCCCCGGTCCTGAGAGGGTGGCTAGCATGTGAGGCAGCAGGTGAGCTGTATGCGTACGGTGAGTGACGTGCCACAATGCATACACGACCACATTCATGTAACAGTCATTACTGTCATTTCTGAGGCTGAATGGAGGGATTGTCATGGCACGGCGCTCCTGCAGGCTCAATGAAAGACTGCCTCCGCCAGCTGCTGCACTATCGCCGCCCTTCGCGGCAGCTCCCTCTTGAGGGAGGCCCCCACCAACATCAGCGCCGATACCCCGATCAGCTGCACTAGGTGCTCGTGCACCTGCTGCGCCACCGGCCCTCGCAGGGAGATGGAAAGGAAGAAGGTCGCCGTCGTGGCGTTGGTGTCCTCCATCTCGTAAAGCCGGGGACGGGAGGTGAACTTCTGGACCACATCGCCCCGGAGGTTCGCCAGCAGGTAGTCCACCTTTTCTAGCAGCGCCGGCTGTGCTATGGCCTCTTTGTCCACATCCCGGACGAGCTTCTTTTCCTGGTGGTTCCACTTGAAGTAGGTCCATTCCTCCGCCTGATTCATCCAGTCTGCTGCCTGAAGCTTCTTCACCGACTCCGGTGTGGAGGTCATGAGTACCATGAGTTCCCGCAGTCGGCGGATGAGGCAGGCCATCAGCAGCGTCCGCAGCGGGGATTTGAGCATCGAGTCGCGGGCTTCCTGACGTGCATGCCAATCCTTGGAGATCTGGATGAGCGCCGGTATGATGCTCACCTCCGGATCCTCGCGGAGAAAAAGACAAAAGCCTTTGTCGCCACGCAACTCGGCCAACTGGTCCTCCTGGCGGATGACGACCTTGGTGAGTGTCCTGATGGTGTCCTGATGTGGCCCGAGCGCGCCCGCCCCAAAAGGTCGCCCAGCTGGTTTGGGATGACGTCGCGGTCGGGTTGCTGTCTGCTCCGGGCGTGGCCTTTTGTTGGGCTGGTTCTCCGAGGCCTCGCTCCCCTGGCCTCGCTGGGAGGTGACGTTCTTGAAGTTCACATACCTGAAGATGTCCGCCTCCGGATTGAGGCCCTGGCTGTCCTGAGCCATGAGAAGGTCGCTCGGCATCACAGGCCGCCTGTTGCTGGCAATACCTCGCAGCAAGGACCAATTGTGTTAGCACCGGGCATTGGGTCGCGTGCCTTGCAGGTGCCCAGACTCGGCGAGCACACCAGGGGCAGTTCCTACCGCTACTGAGCTGGCTTTTAAATGATCTGCAGATGCTTGTGACACTGTCCTGAAGGGAATGCATGATGTCCCAGTGCGCCCTACGCTGATGCTGCTTGATGTGTTGATGGTCAGCCACCCAGAAGTGGCACAGCACGCAATGAGCCTGAAGTTCCTGGCGGAGGGCAGCGTTCGAGAGCAGGCTTTCCCAGCGTGACCATGCAGCTTGAAAGAAGGGGCGCTGAACAAGAGGCAGATTTTGCATCGACGGCGCTTGGCTCGCCGGCGGTGGCTGTGTAGGCGGTTGGAGCTCCGCTCGCAATTCCACCTCGGCGGTTGGTTTATGCACAAAGGATGCACCTCCCACTGTCACACAGGCTCCCACCTCAATGTGGTGCTTGAGATACTGCCACTTCGTGAATTTACGGCCGCAGGCCCTGCAGTGTGGAAGTCCACCGACCGAATGCTGGGCAGGATCAAAAGTGTATTTCCGGTCGGATCTGCCGGCCTCCCCGGTGGGAGTTGGGTGCTTGACGCCGCAATGAATGTGGAGCGCGTGCTCCGTCAAGAAGACGGCCTCACAGTGTGGGCAGGCATGCTGCAGGGCGGGCGTGGGTTGAGAGGGACGATCCTGCTCGCGCTGGAGTAGGAGGCGCAGGTGCACCTCGTGCTGGTGCAGGTAGCGCAGCACTCCTGCATCGGTGGTGATGTCCGGTGTCATCCGGGCCTTGATCTCAAGTTTGGCTCGTGCCTGTTGGATCTGGTCCAGGAGTTGCTCCCCCGGTCTGCGCAATCCCGCCTGTTGCCAGATGGCAGCGTTTGTAACTCGGGTGAGATGCGCGGGTTTCCGCATAATGGCTCTTAAGTGCTTGAGGGCACGGGTTTCCCACTTTTGCAGCCCTTGCGCGGTGATGCCTACTGCGGCGAGAGAGTATGCGGTACTAGTAAAAACACAAGCTGCCCACAGTCGGATGCGGTGCGCCTGCGTGATGGCATGCCGGCCCGTGAGGGACTTCTGGATGGAGTGGTAGCGGAGCTGGCCCGCCTGCAGACGATGGTCCAGGTTTCGATCAGCCACGTTGTGATAGCTGACTTTCGATCCTAAGTACTCATGTTCTGCCTTGATGGGAATGAGCTGAGTGCGGCCGTGCACTGACACAACGAGATGGGGGATTCCCTGTTTGAGGCGCGTGCAATCCCGGAGGGCCTGTTGAGCCTGTTTTCCGACCAGTTTTAACAAGATGGCTGTTTTCGAGAAGTTGATGCGCATCTTGTAGTCTTCCAGGGTGCACAGAAGGATCTGCAATTCTTTGAGGGCACGCTGAAGGTCACTAGAGGATTTGATGATCCAATGAGCCCAGCAATCATCTGCAAACATGGTGGGGGTGTGCCGCACCCAGGCTTCTGAGAGCCGCTCCTCAAGAGTATCGAACAAGGCAACGGTATACCACACCCACAAGCATGGGGCTATTTTGCAACCCTGCTTGAGGCCGTTGGTGGGAACAAAAGCCGCGGAGTGGGCCCCCGCCTGGTAGACAAACTGCGCACCCGTGTGGAGGCGCTGCACCACATCGATCACAGCACGTGGAACCTGATACTTTTCCAGTGTGCTATAGATGCTACAACGGTCCGCCAGATCAAATGCTCGACTCAGGTCAAGAGACAGGCTGAGTGCGCCCGCAAGGGGCAGTGGCCGCCTGCCAGCATGCATGCCGAATCTTGAGATGTGCTGAGAGCGGAGAAGTGCGGTGGCCTCGGCCACGTGCAGATGAATGCGGATGAGGGCGTTCAAGGTGCCACGCCCCGCCGTGTATGCGAACTGTGGACGCTGGGTAACGAGCCGGGTGAGCTGTTCAAGCATACGGTCACGTAGGGCCCCGGCCAGGGCCTTGGAAGGCGGTCCCATGAGTCCGATGGGCCTGAGATTTCCCAGGATGTGTGGGGATTTCCCCACCTTGGGCAACATGACCATCTGAGCGTCGGTGAGGTCTCCGTGCAAGTGGCCCGACGATCCTTGAACGAAGTGATGACGAAAGGAAGCGCCGAAAATTGGACCAAGCAATGACGCACAAAGCTTCCAGGCTGCGGCTGGTGCCAGGTGACTGGGGACAGCTTTGGCCGCTTTGGTGGCCTCGAGTTGCACAGTGATTTCGGCATCTGTGAGAATCAGAGCCTCTTGGAGGGAGTCACTGAGAGGTTGGTCATTATGTTGGGCATAGGTGGTCTTGCCCTGTTCTACCAAGGCCAGGACTTCGGCACTTTTGCTGAGGAGCTGCCCCTCATCATTACGGAGACGTGAGAATGCACGCCCCGGCGAAGGAGTTAAGGACCGGACAATCTGGAACAGGGTGCGCTGATCTCCCCGTTGGGCCGCTTCCTCGGCCTGCATCAATTTGCTGGTAAATGCAGCTCGCTTGAGATCCTTGCTTTGCTGACGGAGAGCTCTGGAGGCCCGGGCGAATGCCAGATGCAGCTTCCATTTGTGGAGCATGGCGGCAATGGTGGCCACGCGTGGCCTACGCAGCAAGGCATACAGGCGCCAGGTATGCTTGGCTGAGGCACGGAAAGGCGCTTGGGCGCTGACACGGCCATCCGTAGCTTGAGGCGGAGGAAAAACCTGCCGCACGCATTGCTGCAGTATCTGATTGACACGGGTATGCAGGGCATGCGGGTCGGTGACGGGAAGATCCTGCAGCTTTGCAGCAACCAGGGTTTGCAAGGCCACCGCATCCTCATTGCAGCTGGTGGCAGCCTCGAGCAGTCGGGCTTTATCAACAGGCGGCGCGCTGCGCTGGGGGCGACCTGGTCGCCAGTGCACTGGAAGCATTGGTAGCTGAGCCTCAATAGGCAGGTGACCGGCTAAACGCCACCCTGCGACCGGAAATTGATGCAAGGGACGGGCCTGGCGGCTGTTCCCCGTGGCCACGTTCCTACGGGTAATGACGTAATCGATTTGCGAGTAGCCGGTATGGCCATAGTATGTGTGCATCGGCCGCGCGTGCCAGCTATTTAGCGCGCATAGGTCGTGATGGACGAGCAGCTGAGGCATTCTACTGTCTAGCGTACTTGCACTGGTGACTGGCCCCACAGCATTTCCCACATGTGGGTGCTGCGGCCTCAGATTGGTGTTATAATCCCCGCATGCAAAGAGGATATCGCGAGAAGGCAGAGAGCTGAGAGTGGCATCAAGAGCATCCCAAACCGAATCCCTTAGCCGGGAGTTGTCCTGTGTGGACAATTGGCTGCGCCAAACGTGCTGATAAGTAGCAACTATGTCAAGACTAACATCCGAATGTTTGGGTTTAGCTCTAACGTGCACCACGCGGCCGCCGATGACCTCATGCACAGCCGGGTCCTGGAAGTAGGCTCGCGACAGCAGGATGAGCAGTCCAGCATACCTGTCGGTGGTGGTTTCGGTGGGGGCCGGCGCACTGTGCACGCACACCCACTTTCCCGAGAAGTATTCTGAGCTGGCTGACCAGTGCGTTTCCTGCACAACGCAGACCTGGTACTTGTTTTGCACCTCCAACCAAGCAATCAACTCCTGATATAACCCTGCATTCAAACCCCCAGCATTCCAGCTAAAGCAATGCAGCATGGGCGTCGTGCTTGCTTGCCGCCGAGCTCGTCGAGGATTGGACCTGGGAGCTGCTGTGATTGGAGTGTAGGGCAGGGTTTGTAAGGATGCGGCACTGTGCCAGCGACCCCTGTAGTAGGTGCCGCCAGTCTGGGCAGCTCGGAGCCTGGCTCGGCGATAAGCACGCTTTTCTGAGTGCTTCGGCACAGCTTGGGTGAGCGGCATGCTCAGCGCTTTGCTGCAATGCTTCCCCGGCGTGGCGCCAGGTCCCGCCTCTACTGCAGCTACAGAGGCAACCCTCACCCCAACTGCCCCCTCTATGCTATGAATCATCAGCAGAACAGAGAGAGGCAGGCAGCAGCCGGACTTGGGACCGGCTTGGCTCAACGATTGCAAGTGATTGGGCGGGTGGTGTTTCAGGTTCAGGAGCTTACGGGGCTTAGGGAAAGGTCGGGCATTGGCTTGGTTCCTGCCTGCACGCACCTGGGGCGCCTGAGCGCCTCCCGGGGCCGCAGTCGGCGGCAGCCAGCAGCTGGTTGCACAATGGCTGCTATCCAAGTCAGACCTACATGGGGTCAGGTGTGGGGCAGCAGCACCGACGGAACAGCGGCGGGTCTTAAGGTAGGGTCCTAAGGGGTGTCGGGTTGGCAGGGCTTGAAAGCGGACAGCACACAGACTTCGTGTTCTTCCAAGGAGCCATCGGCGAGCAGGTGCCCGAAGCGGCGCGCCAGAAAATGGATCATGCGGCTGGCGGGCCCCGCCTGGGGCGTCGTTCATGAGTGGCCTGAAACTCCCAGTTGGACCAATGTTGCCTGCGAGAGTCGGGGAGGTGCCGGTGCGCAGCCTGCTGAACCACATGCCAAGGGGAGCCCAAGAGCTTCCTCCTGAGTGCCCCGACCTTTGCTCCCTGGGATCGACTGGAGAGGCCTGGTTGTGTAGCCAGCAATTCCATCCGATATTGGCCGCACAATACCCCTTTTGCTTCCTCCAAGCTGGGTCCCCCCAGCGCGAGGCTGGTCTCCGACCATGTAAGCGAATTGAGCGAGGCATTGTCGTTGTCCGAGGACGTGCTGGATGATGAGAGGGCAACAGAAGAGCTGCTTGGTGAAGCCTCAAACCTTCCGTTGGGGAGCGGCGGTCCCTGCAGTCTTTCGAAGAATCTGTGACCTCCCTCGCAGATTTCCAACACCGGCCAGCGGCGGGCAGGATCGGAGTCGCTGTCACTAGCGGGAGCAGTCGGCGTGGCGGACTTGGCTGCTGCAGCAGACGGTCTTCCGTGGTCAGCGGCTGGTATGGGATGCAGCGGCTGCGGTCTGGGTGGCCCTCGTGGAGCTTGATACACCGGGGGTCTTTGACCGTGGTCATGCGGTGTGGCATCCATGTCGCGCTCTTGTTCCTCCAGCTCAGACAGAGTTGCACCAGCATGATCATCACTAGCATCGTCGTCCATGGCCGCGCAGGCATAGAAGTTCCCCGAAGTACAGCCGGGAGCCCACGAGCCCAAGCCAGCCAGGAGAGCCCAGCCCGGGAGCAAAGCCAGGCCCCGGGCCCCAAAAGAGAGAAGAAGTAACACCACCCAGGGCACTCGCTGCGAGCCACGGGGCTTCATCATCATCACCACCGTCATCATCATCATCATCACCATCATCATGTACAACATCAGGTACAGTATCAGCCAAAACAGCAGTGTAGTTGCAAAGACATGTGAACTCTGGCACCCTCATTTTGCTGGTTGACGGTGGGTGTGCAGACAGCGTAAATGGCTTTGCGGTAAAGTATAAAGCTTGACGAGGGACAAAGGGTGCACAAGCTTGAAATGGTGCAGCAATCCGATTCCGGACACAAACATCCCTAAACCCAAAACCCCAAACCCAAAATCCTAAACCCTAAACCCTAAACCCCAAAATCCTATTCTGCATGACAGAAACTAGTAGGCCTCTCAGCCTTCACCGGGAGGAGACCCCAATATGATAAGGGCACTTCTTCTAGAGTGTAGGTCCCAGAGGGTGTAGGGTTTAGGGTTTAGGGTTTAGGCACGGCTTCTGAAGCCTATGAGGATGAGTTTTCACGGAAGTTTCAATTTAAAGCCTTGAAGAGAAGGGCTCTCCGAAGCCCTCAACCTGCGATCCCAAATCTTGAAACGCCAAGGATCTAAATCATGAAGCCCTCACTAAGACCACGACAACCTGCAGAAAGCGAGAAGCACAAAGCGCAGGAAACTAACAGAGAAAGGCAGAAATACTAACAAGTAACGAGCAGACTGTTCCCTCAGGTGCCAAAGTCCGAAGCTGGGCCGCCGGTTTCGTTGCTGCTGCCCCGCGGTTCACGTGGCTGAGCTTTTTGTCCTTAGGTTTTACAAGGGCTTTCAAGGATTTATGCAGGTTGAAAACCTTCTTGGGGCGCCGGGACTCGACTGCCAGGATACATCCATAAAGTCAGGCTTTCCCTAAACCCTAAACCCTTTTCCCTAATGTAGGGGCCTTAGTAATTAGAATGGGTTTTTGGGGTAGATTATACTATAACTATAATAAGGAACCCCCAAAACAGTACAGGTACTTATTAGGGCCCCTGTAGTAAACCCTAGAATCTCTCGTATCTCGACACAGGCCATTGTTCAAGAGGTCCATCTCTTGGATCCTAGCGTTCTGGGGCTTGAGGTTTACAAAACCCCAATCCCCGCCAGAACCCAAAAAAAGCCACAAGAACCCTGATAGAAAAGAAGCCTGAAGAACTACCAATATTCTTCCTAAGTTTACCCCAACACCCTCTTGTGAGTGTTAAGGCCCCCAGACTATTGTGAAACCCCACGATCCGGAAACCCTAAACCCGAAACCCTAAACCCTAAACGACGTGGAAACTAAAAAAAACGTGGTTTCTGCAGCACAGGGAGCGAAGTCCGTTTGCAAGTTCGCCAGCTGGGCAGTGATCTGCGACTCGAAGTCTTGCAAGCGGGTGGCCACCTTTCGTCTGGTGTGGAGTTTGGAGTGGGAAACCCTAAACCCCCAAACTCCTTAAACTCCCTAAACTCCCTAAACTCCCCAAACTCCCCTGACTCCTAAACTCTTTAAACTCCTTACACTCCCTAAACCCAAACCGTGTAATTTGTGAGCTTGTACGCCGTCGGCTGTTGGGTCGAGGGCTTGGGGCTCAGAGGAAGAAGCTTCTGCCATGGTAGAGGTTCATCAACAGCTCAGGAGCCCTAACACTTTTTCACTAACCCTAAGCGCTAAACCCTAAACCATAAAACTCTAAAACCTAAAACCCAAAAACCCTAAACCCCAAAACCCTAAAACCCTAAACCCTAAACCCAAAGCCCTACATGGGAAGGGTTGTCGGTTGAGGGTTCAGGGGTTTAGGGCTTCGGGTTTGGGACTACGATGGACTACGAGGCATGAAGGGCATTGCACTACATTCGCTGCACCTGAAGCCCGGAACCCCGAACCCAAAATCCGAAACATTGGACCAAGGGATTGCGCGGTTTAGGGCTTAGGCCTTTTTTTGGGTTTGGAGTGTAGAGCTCCCCGCCCGGCCTTTTTCATGATCTGGGCATCACCGCCGGTCTTTCGAGAGGGCAGGACGCCGTCTTCGCCACCTCCACGGCAGTGCTGCAGTCTCTAGTACATAGGCTCCGTTAGGGTTAAGGATCTACATCTCCGGACCAAGAAGAGGCCAACGTAAAGGGTAAAGGATTTGGGGTTTGGGGTTTACGGCCCATGGCTACGACTGTAGCGTTTTGCATTTGAGCTTTTTGTACAATTTGCTTTTCACATGGTAGGTTAAGAAGGGACTTCGGCATGTGTAAGGTTTCTTCACGGATCTGAGCTTAGGGGCCAGAGCCAAACCCCAAACTCCAAACCTTGACGCCACCACTGGGGATTATACGGCTACACTTCGGCATAGGCCCTACCCACTAATGGTGGCATGATAGGAACATAGAGGGACCCTCGTACAACCAACATGAGTCGTTGTGCTCATTGTTAGTGGTTGCGCGGGTGGGGGGGGGGGGGGCCTTGCCCAAGTAACATCCTCAAACCCTAAAGCCTCCCTGCTACATCCCCACCTGAAACTCTCGCAGCGCAATGAAAAACAATACCAACGCAAAACCAAAAACACAGTTCGAAAGATGTGTGTGTGTGTGTGTGCGCGCGTGCATATATATATATATATGTGTGTGTGTGTGTGTGTGTGTGTGGGGGGTGCGTGCGTGCGTGCGTGCGTG